GGGGGGGGGCAAAATTTGTTATGGTTTATAATGGCAAATGATACTTTGAATATTACATGTTGATAACTTGATTGGAATTATAACCCTAAGTTGACAGTCTGATACTTTGTAAATTTTGAGCCATCCCTACCCCCAAGGGCTGTAGGGTGGGGCCCAATGGAGTCTGTGTGCTAAAATAAAATTTCTTCATTTTCCTTGTTTAGAATCAGAGGTGCTAGTTTCAAATACTTTTCAGTCTTAAATCTGCATGCTAGATTTTGAATAAGGTGGTTTTATTGTTTTTTGTCACTTTGAATAATATTTCTGTTCATGTTAAAAACAAAAATCAACTCTCTGTATAAATATATCAGGTGACCGTTAAGGCCCATGGGCCTCTTGTTCTGCGTATAGTCGATACAGCCGTACTCAATGTCTTTGTGTATGTAACAGAATCGTATTGAAGAAGCAACACGCTGAAACACTTGAGTCATCCATGTCCTTGGAACTCTATTTAAGCATTGGTGTACAATGACTCCGTCTGCATCCATTCCTACAGCTATTGACCAATCTATGTTCAGAATGGAGGAGTCGCAAGCATTGTCCATCACCATTGAGTAGATGCTGATATGCTTATGTCATTCACACACACACCGGTATAACACCTGTAGACGTGTGCCCGGCACTATGTCGAGTATTTTATCTACTACCCAACCTTCACCAACTACAGCAATATTGTCATTGACCGGTCACTGCAAAATACACCTTGATGTATACAATGATGGTTTCCATAATAATAAAATTGGTTGTGTTGTCATGTTTTCTAGTTTTGGTTTCTGCAAGGACGCGGTCTCCCCTAGTAACACACACTGACATTATTTTTATTTGGTGTTAAATCCACCCTGTTACAATTTATCGTCGCACAGAGGTTCTGTGTAATAGGGGATACTCAGATAACTGTTGTCCGGGCTGGACTTTGTATCTGCTGCTGTATCTACCCCTGTCTTTTCAGGTATGTCACATTATGTTACTGTTTTCGTCACCTGCCCACTTCCCCCAATCAATTTAGGAGAAGATGGAAGCAGTACAAAATGGAATCAGCCAGTCTGCTAGAGAACAATGGTCTGCAATAGAAGGAAGTACAGTGGCGCGATGCTTGTCTCTTTCCGCTCTGCCTTTGTTCGAGTCGAAGGTAACTGGAATCATCCAGCTAAAGGTTCAGTAGACACTGCAATTTTTCTTGAAGCCTGATCTTTGGTGTGAATTTTAAGATTTACCAGGTGAAATTCATGTTAGTTTGCCAAGTGCATGTTTCCCCAATGTAATGGTATATTGATATTGAGTCTACTAACCATGTCAAACACCTTCAACTCTTTCAAGTTTCTTCTCACGTTCTGTCTCGTATCTGATTAGAATTCGGGCATTTTCGACTTCTAAATGTTTCTGTTACAAAAGGGTTTGGTCGATTTAACTGTCAAGTTCCTTCTTCTTGATCTTTTTTTCTGTGCTTTTCTATTTCTTCTATTAAACTTTCGATTTTTTTCAGTTGATTTGTAATGGTGTAGAACTGATTTCTTATTGAATTCGAATTATTTTATTTTGCTCAGCGTCATGGATGGAAGTTTTTGCTTCATGTATATTTTGTGAAGTTACCCCACTGAGCTCAGCAAACTTATGAATCCTGTGTATGCTGGAAACACATTTCGCACATAAGAGGTCAGATCACATGTCGAAAACTAGTCCAATGTTTTATCTTTGTTGTAAACACAGGTAGCCTGGCCTTTGTATTAATGTCTTTCTGCACCTTATAGCATACTATTGTATTGTCTGCCATTTCAAAGTTCCATGTTTTCTCATTTTAGAAACGAGGAAATTGTAATTAATTAAGATACAGATTGTTGTGTTTAAATTTGTGATGATCAATGTTTCAAGTACAACATTTGCAAACCTATATACACCAGATCTGAATCGTGTTTACCAATCCCTGGTTCATGAATAAAGCACAACATCTCATGTGTAAGTTTATAAAATGTCACTTAACAATAACGATAGCAATAACATGATAATATCACAAGGTAGGTAAGTTAAGAAACATGTCACCAGCAGTAACAATAATAATAACAACAATAACACAGACAGTAACATGCTATAACGCAAGGTAGGTAAGTTAAGAAACATGTAACCAAACAATTACAATAACAATTACAACAATAACACAGACAGTAACATGCTATAACGCAAGGTAGGTAAGTTAAGAAACATGTAACCAAACAATTACAATAACAATTACAACAATAACACAGACAGTAACATGCTATAACGCAAGGTATGTAAGTTAAGAAACATGTTACCAAACAATTGCAATAACAATAACAACAATAACACAGACAGTAACATGCTATAACGCAAGGGAGGTAAGTTAAGAAACATGTAACCAAACAATTACAATAACAATTACAACAATAACACAGACAGTAACATGCTATAAGGCAAGGTAGGTAAGTTAAGAAGCATGTAACCAAACAATTACAATAACAATTACAACAATAACACAGATAGTAACATGCTATAACGCAAGGGAGGTAAGGTAAGAAGCATGTTACCAAACAATAACAACAATAACACAGCCAGTAACATGCTATAACGCAAAGTAGGTAAGTTAAGAAACATGTTACCAAACAAGTGCAATAACAATAACAACAATAACACAGCCAGTAACATGCTATAACGCAAGGGATGTAAGTTAAGAAACATGTTACCAAACAAGTGCAATAACAATAACAACAATAACACAGACAGTAACATGCTATAAGGCAAGGTAGGTAAGTTAAGAAGCATGTAACCAAACAATTACAATAACAATAACAACAATAACACAGCCAGTAACATGCTATAACGCAAAGTAGGTAAGTTAAGAAACATGACACCAACAGCAACAATAATAATAACAATAACACAAACAGTAACATGCTATAACGCAAGGAAGGTAATTTAAGAAGCATGTTACCAAACAATAACAACAATAACACAGACAGTAACATGCTATAACGCAAGGTAGGTAAGTTAAGAAGCATGTTACCAAACAATAACAACAATAACACATACAGTTACATGACAATAACGCAAGGTAGGTAAGTAGCAAAATTTGGAAAGCATCTGTGAAGTATGGGAGAGGATAATGCTGTACTGATGATACTTAAAATACCCACTAACTCACTGGGCATCGTTGTCATTAAAGACATATAGTGGTGTTGCTGGTTAATCATCAAATAATTTAAAGGAAGCTTTAAGAATAAGTCATTTAAAAAGACTTGAAAATCCTTTTTAACCATAATAAAATTTCAGTAAAATACGTAAAAAAAGGTTCATTGTTTCTAAAGGTGATTTTAGAGTGTTTCAACGATTTCGTATGATTTATTTTCATAAGTAAGTATCCGTAAGAACTAGTGGTGCTGTTGTTTGTAAATAATCAAATAGTTTTAAGTTAAGTTCACATCATGTCATTAGAAAACACTTGAAAAACCTTTGAACCATTATAAACTTTTAGAATAATACGAAAAAAACCGTTTATTCTTTCTCAACGTGAGTTTAGAGTGTCAACGATTTTGCATACTTTATTGTAATGAAAAGGTATCATTTTTCTTTCTTTTCTACAACACCCCTATTTCCAGAGAGCGAATTAACAATTGCAGCGAATATAAGTCAACAATATAAATGCATTGTAACGTGAAGGGCGAAATTAATACATTTACTGGGCGAAAATTGATTTCACTGACCAAGGCCGAAAGTTTGTCTTGGCTAAAAATTCCCGATATACATTATTGCTGATAGTGCTAAGTCGTTTGACTGAAATATTTAAAGCGATAGCTCGAGATATTAGGCCGAGGCTTCGAGACGTCAGGCCGAGGCTTCGAGAAATTAGGCCGTGGTTTCGAGATGAGTGAAATGTGAAGCCAACACACAAGGACGAAATTAGAACTTAAAACTGATAGGAAAAGACAATAAAGAAAAGCTGACCCGACACCAAAACCAGAGGAAAGACATCATGAATCTCAACGAAAATCCGGAGTCGGGAACAGTGCTCAGGATATAACCCAAACAATTCGAAGATCTAATTTTTCAATGAAGTTGAACTAGAATAACCTGGTCAGTTGGGTACATTTAATGTATATATGTGATTCCAGAAGGTTCACAGCTCGTGCAACGCTTGTCACGATTTTCACAATTATCTGACACAAGGTCAAACATGGTTAGCTAACATATCTGCTAATAGGTCAATTTGGCATTTGTTATCTTTCTTTGGCACAGCTCCGGGACAACAGTGTACTCATTGCCGATTCCTGTTCCTAAATCTGCCAATAAATATTTGGACTATAACTTTATTTTCAAGACTTTGCTCAAAGCATAACCTAATGTTCGAAGAATAGGGAAGATTGAACCAGATCAAAATTCATTCCTTTGTTGACGGGTCATAGTAAATTTGTCTAATAAAATAATTTTTCTTGCAGTCATTTCATTTTAATATATTTTTATCCACTAAATTCTCAAACTGTTGCTGAACGACATGTTCAGCACCTGTTTTGCCTCCCATTGCGGTAGGATATCACACATTATCCTTACAAATATGACAGGAAATTATTAATTCTTAATTTGAACATATTTTATGGTGAATTTGACTGGTTCGACAAGATAATATAAAATCATATAATGACCTCAATAAAACCTGTAATTGATGCTGCCGTTACGACAATTGAATAACCATTTACATTTGACCCTTTTATATATGCTATGAGTATAACGTTATTCTGGTAAGAGTTAAAGTAAAACATGAGGCACATCCAATAAAGAGGAGAAACTAGCATATTGCTACCAAGGAAAGGGAAATTAAATTTATCATATTTATCATAACGTCTGAAAGTGAGGTTGACATTATTACAGGTATATGAAAGGTTAAGACGTGAATAACAAGAGAGTCTTGTGGTTCAATTTTTTACTTTCAGAGAATAGATAGCTGTCGATTTTTTTTACGTAATTCAAGGAAAAACATCATAAATACAACTCAATGTTTGACTACAAAGTAGGAGAATATCCCTTGTTACCACTGATGAGTCCTAAAAGATGAAATAGCTATATGTTTAGTAAATATTTCTCATGTAATTGTCGTTGCTATCAGAATGTTTGTTAAACAATGAATTCCCTCAGAGTAGATTTCAGCATCTCTGGTAGAAACCCTTAGTTACGTACATTAGTCATTTGTCAATATGACATAATGCATTGATCTTGGCAAATTATTTAGAGTCCAATCAGCTATCGTTGTGAATAAACATCTATTTTGGAAACGCCATATACGAGGAAGGTTACAGAAGAAAGGAAAATAAAATACTGTGTAATTACATTATATAAATCGGTTAACCAGCTTGGTTGTGAAAAAAACCCACTAAAATTATTTAAATGGAATGGATTACTTAATTAATTAGGTCAAAGTTTACCTGACCATATGGTCCTATCATGTCTCTCTGTGATTATAATACCACTGATAAGACTTGAGATCTAGGTCATTCTCAGAATTTTGGTACAAATACATCGGACTTTTCAACTCTTTGATTCACTAGTCACCTTGATTGTGTCCACATCAAATCCTAACGATGAACGGAGTTCTCGCTATCCTGGCCTGTATGGTCGCCATCGTGAGTACAATGATGATCTTTGTTATTTTGAACTAATTGGCCTTTCTTCGTCAGGTCTATTGCTGGTCTGCCGCGTCTACGGCGCAGGAAAACAGGTGTTTTTCATTTATCTTTGAAATATTTTAAAATTTTTGACGTGCTCATACAACGATTGTCATGCTAGGATGTCCAGTGAAAAGTGACTACGTTGTAAACATTAAGAATTTTATCATGTTATGTGTTTTGCTTCAGTTTATGTTATTGTCATTTTAGATTAACATCTATTTCAAAATCCAATCTTGGCCTTGGGGTTTACTCTGTAACATCATTGTACGATTTTTGTAGTAAGGTAGTAAGCTTACTTCATTTCAAATAAACATTGATTGATATGGACAGAACATTTATTTCACTTCCATGCTTGTCTGTTAAAACTTTCAGGTCAAGATACATAATCTTTTCAGAATTCAGTTTGTTTTCCAATATGAGATTCTTTTAGGAAAAAGTTACCTAACGCATAGTGTTTCGGTATATTTGTCAGCTTGAGCCTGAAGTTTTACTCTTCGAAAATGAGAGTCAATCTTGTTTAAAAAAGCGACAGAAAAAAATGTGAATGCCATGGTTTTTCTTTTTTTCTTTATCGTTTCATTGATTAGTAGACTTTTTCAGAAGTAGACAATCATGTATTCTAATTGCTTCGTGGTTGATCCAGTGTAAATTTCGCTTTTTTTCCCCGGAATAAGGGCAAATTCAGCATTATAGCGAATATAAGTAAACAGCATATAGACATAGTAATGAAATGTGAAGGGCGAAATTAACACCGGGCGAAAACTGATTTCATTGTAAAAGGGCAAATATTTCATGTGGATCCTGTATGAGCTGTGAAATAACATTTCCTGACTCTAGTATAGATAGCTCAATGCAATTTCTTCAAGTTACAATCGGAAAGTAGTCATCGATCTTATTCAGTAAAGGAAATCGAACTTATACAAAACACCGTACCATTGTTCTATTTCAGACTGTTGCTATGACAACCACCAAGGCACCACATCATAATCATAACCACACACATCACCATGGAACCCATCCGCCACCTATTGGAGAGGGATTTGTCTTCAAGTACGACCAACACTCGGTAATAATAGCACACACATTGTTGTCAACCTGAACTGATGATTTCAAGCATCATGTCACCTACGAAATAAATATGACACCGTATAAACTCTTATCAAAAGTATAAATATGTGAATAGGTATTCAATTCCATTAATTCAACTCGGCTTATCAGATGATCGGTTATCGATTATACATATTTGCATAGAAGATTATAAAAATAATATATCCAAGTGAGGCTTCAGTTCTTTTTCAAGATTTTATTTCTTTAATATTTGTACTCTGATCGCATTTGAAATGTAACGGAAAACAATTTTTGACAACTTTTGAAACGATTAACAGGAAAACGTATTTGTTTACATAAACGTTGAAACATTAAAGAGATCACTATTGGTATATTATAGCATCGTATGGCTGTGATCAGTAATCACCAATGCTGGATCTACAATCCAAGTGATGACGAGAAGAACTCAATATCTGATGTTCACGCTCTAAGGAACCTTGAGGTTTGTTTTACGCTTATATCGTTGTACCATGCACGACGTATGTGATTTTGTGCATAGTTCATCAATTAAAAAAAAACTCTCCCTCAAAAGGATCCCAGCAACAAAACATAAAACTACTAAATGTGTGAATTGGTACCTCTTTCGATAGTATAATTATTTTTTATAATGACTAGTTTCTGCAAAAAAACATGCCTTGCCAAACACCATTGAGAAATAATTAAACAAATGAAAACACATAACACATAACAAAAGTGTTCTGAGGTTTGAAAATGCCATGTTTTATAAATAGTAAGTATGTTTTGAAAACAAACAGTAATTAAAAACTTATTTTGCGAGCTTTAGAAAACAAACAAAAAG